GCCCTGTACAGCTGTGTATAGCTCTGCATAGCTCTGTATGGGTGAGTATAGTATAGTCTTGTATAGCTGTGTATAACTCTGTATAGCTGTGTATAGCCCTGTATAACTGTGCATAGTTTTGTATAGTCCTGTATAGCTGTGTATAGCCCTGTATAGCTGTGTATGGCTCTGTGTAGCTGTGTATAGCCCTGTATAGCTGTGTATAGCCTTGTATAACTGTGTATAGCTCTGTATAGCCGTCTATAGCTGTGTATAGCTGTTTATAACCTTGTATAGCTGTGTTTAGCTCTGTCTAGCTTTGTATAGCCCTGTATAGCTGTGTTTAGCTCTGTCTAGCTTTGTATAGCCCTGTATAGCTGTGGGTAGCTCTGTATAGCTGCGTATACCTCTGTATAGCTACGTTTAGCCTTGTATAGCCCTGTAGAGCTGTTTATAGCTGTATCTAGCCTTGTTTAGCCTGTATGTGTGTGTAGGGTATTGTTTGTAAAGTACATTACATGCATGTAAAGTATAGGACATAATATTTATTAAGGACATAATAATGACCCGTACATAACGTATCTACCAGTTATAGTTGTTTTGTTTAGTCCGCTGAAAGTATTGCAGGCCTAGGAACAAAAAACACGGGCTCTGAAAAGGATGACTCCGCTGAGCAAAGACGAATATTCTTCTGGTGTGTTACTACCCAGGAATCCTTTTTGAAGTATGATGAATTTCCAAGGGAAAAGGTTTTGTTATTTTATTGACAGCTCAGTGACGAGAGCCCGTGGAACGTGAGGGCGTGCGTGTTCCTTTGTGAAAGCGCGCAAGGAGGGTGAACTACACCAGAAAGAATAAAGAGGGTAAGTTTCTGAAGAAACTGTGGTGCCACGTCGGTGGGAGAGTATAACAGGGTAATTTAGTGTTATCAACTGAGTTGAAACGTGAATTTAGAATACGAAGGGCTAACGCTCGAAACCTCAGTCTTTAAACTCTTTACGGTGGCCAATTTACGCTAGGATTAGGGTTAGAAGGATTATTTTACAATAAATAATTTAAATAAATCAAAATTGGATTTATTTAAGTTCACAAGACAACCAGGTGGACAATCAGACATGGTTTGATGCTGCTCATGTGTAAAGATTTAATGAATGTGATTAAGAAGTTACAATTCATAGACCCAACGTTTTGAAACTCCTGTTTAGTGCCTTCATCAGGGGTTATCTACTCACTGCAACAAGAGGTCCTTTCATATGCTACTAATTAGCTCCCCTTTAGAATAAATACTGTTGGTTCGTCGTTCTTTCGACTCTATTCATTCTATTCCATGCAATGACTGTGATCACAAGTATATTGGATAGACCAGTCAGTGTGTCAGTTTGAAAGAGCATCAAAAAGCAGTCTCCTTTTGCAAAAAAAAGAAAACTCAGCTTTGTCAGCACACACATGCCTAACTAACCATACAATTGGGAGGGATAGGTCTAACATTATCACCACTAATTGACATTACCACCAACGCCTTTGTTTGGAAGCCTGGCATATCAACTCCACCCACACTCCTTTAAATCATGATGATGGCAGCTTACTACCTATTTACACCTCATCAGAAAAAGGGCAGCTAATTAGTGAGCATATGAAAGGACCTTGTTGCAGCAGACAACTGTTTCTAGCAGGTACAGTATTGTAAGTGTACAACTGATTCTTGCACATACAGTATGGGGGTCACATACCTTTCACAATGAAATTTAAATACTATTATTTTTCCAATGACACAAAGAAAACTGGTAAATTAATCTAATAATAATAATAAAATAATAATAATAATAATGAAAATTGAAATGAAAATTATCTACTTATTAATATCTTTTAGCTGAGTTAGTGAATGGAGTAAATTGATCTTGACTATTCAACCTCAAGGGGACTTGATTACAAGGTACAATAATTTGATGTGAATTAACTCTAATTTTGTGGTGTTATTGTTTAAATGAGTGAAAATGATGATGAAAAAAAGGTAGTGCCTCCTTCTGTGATTTTTTTATCATCCCTACCTCAAAAAGGAACGTGATTATGATTCACTACAGATTTTTAGGTCTAGAGTAGAGATTTTAGTTACATTATTTCACACATGCATTGATTACAGTATTATATTTTTCATTAGTGTCATATGCATTAAAAGAAATATGTGGGCCAGGATTCATATTCCTAGTTATGTTGATAACTTACTTTGCTAATAGCTTTGATCACTCTTTAGGCTGCCATGGCAACAGTCTCAAGCAAAACCCCTATTTTAATTGCGCCAACAACACTTCCAGGACCTCCTGCCATACCCATAGTTCTCACCAGTCCCTCAGCTGCAGCAGCAGGCCCTGGTGGGTAGAAAAACTTTATTGTTTACTTTTATTTAATTGTAAAATTTACATCTTACCTCTGACCCCTTTGGAGGTGAGCGGTTTTGTTTCCAGGAGAATCTTGCCATTTCCCGTCAGGTGATGTCAAGGAAAATATCATACAACTGACTCGGGGGGAGGGGCAGGGGGTAGTTGGGTCTAATTTGCTGGGTATGTGCCACTCCCATCAGAACCCCCTCTACTCCATTACAGTGTATTCTGTGGCCAGTTATAGCCCCCATCTTAGTGACTTTTGGGCAAATGTAATTTTTGTGATCCAAACCCAGGGTAAAGAACCTTAACCATTTTTGAATCCCTACTGACCAGAATTTTCCTTAGCCCCAAAATACAGAAAATGTGCAACTTCATTTGTTGAAAAGACTAAGTGTAGCCTTAGAGAAATCATACACAATGAACATTAATTCTAAGCAAGATTACCTGTTTTGTATGGAATCATTGATAAAGAGTGACAGGGGGTTGCATACACAAAAACAACCTTTGTAGGCACCAGGATTACAAGTTATTACATAATTGTCTTCATTTGTAGCTTTTGGTTTTGTCTAGCTTCTTTATAGCTTTATTACTTTTAGTCTTATGTTGTAAGCCAAAGTTCTTCCCAAACTGATGAAATACTGGTTGCAGAGTGTTAGAATACCTTCCTAAGGATCTTGATATTAGTTTATTTTTGGTGTTTCATCTAATCACTATTCTTGTAACTCTACTTAAAATGTAATATTACCTTTAGCCTATTACTAGAAAGAACCCCCCCCCCACTCCCGATCACTGTCTTTAGCCATGTTCTGATTACATGTTTTTCCTAGACCTTGATCGCATTCTGTGAAATGAATTTGTAAGAAATTCATGAAAATATATACTTGGCAGGATCCATGTGAAATAACTACATGGAAGGTCACATGATCAGTATGAATGGTTCTTACTTCTTTGTAATTAAAAGCCCCAGCAAGAAAACAAGCTTATTTCAGGTGCCAATTGGAGAGAACAAGGAGTGTAAGGCCAATTCCTGCATGCCCAATCTCATATTTGTGCCTGCACTTAGCATATGGTGAAGTTGAGGCAGGAATGTTATTATTCCAATATCACTTAATTTTCTGGATTTTTTTCCCCATTCAACAGTGTAATACTGGGGCATGTTTTATGTGTACCACTGCCCTATTGTGGTAAAATGGGGTATTAGGTGAATCATAGAATGATTGGGTATATATTGCTTGCTTGACAGACTAAGGAGTATTCATAGTCTGTGAAATTAGCAACTTCCTCAAAGCCAATGGTGAGATTTCCCCAAATGCTTACAATTGTAAACCTAAAATCTTAAAGTTCAATGCTAACCTACATTTCAAGTGAGATCTATTTCAATCTTTGGCAAAAACTGTTGTTTTCTTTTGAAATTTCATACAGTCAGCAGCTTTGATTTGGATGACAAACAAAAAGATGGGTTGTGATTGGAATCACATTAAACAGGCTTCTATTACCAGTTCTCCGTGATTTTGCGGGCAAGGAACTTTTAAACACTACACATCATTGAAGAGCTCCAGTGGAATAGATACCCAGGTTTATTCCACTCGCATGAAGAAAAAGATGGTTCATTTGATTTAAACTATGGCAGCATCAACAACAACTGGGGAAGATTCAAGAAAAAGTGCATCTATATGATTATAAAGTGGCATCTGCTGAGGATCTGGCTAAACTTTACCTTGAACCACACATGGCCAAATTTACAGGTGAATGATTATTTTACCAAAATTGGCAGTAATGTTGCAATGTAATTGGCCAATTTGCCATTGTCGATAAGAGTACAAACAACGCTGCTTACGTCAACGTGTCACGCAATGTCTTTACAAGCTGTCAAACATGGGTGACTTGGACATTTTGATATTGTGGTAAAAAACAAACTGATAGTGGTTTAGCGTGGTCTGTACTCTTATCGACAACGATATTCGTCATCACAGTCAAAATTTGTCGCTAAGAGTACAGACCACGCCAATGTTAATTCTCTAGTCGATCTTTTTGCTAATTATAACTTACAGTGGAATATAATGACAAGGAACAAATCTGGGAATATGTAATCGTTCCAGATCAGCCTGCAGTTTCTTATTGGCGCGTCAATCTCTGACACAGGTCGCTTGGCGTACTTGGCGTTATACACATGTCGAAGAGACTCTCGGCCCAACGAGACTCTGAAGTCAGTCAAGAGCCATACTTGCAACTTGGAAACTATCCTGATAGATCAGGATATCGTTTACATAATGCTTTTAACTCGATCTTTCTCTTCAGTTCACAAATTGATCATGGTAAAATCCCCTCTTCGGTTACGGCTTTATCTCGCTTTTTAGCCATGACATGTGAAGTCTGCTCAAGTTGTTGTGTAAAGTTAGGGTAACTTTGGCAGCGGTTTGACAAGTAGGAGCTTCAGGCTTACGCAAGAGTGTAACAATAGTTAAATGAGCCTACTGAATAATGGCTGAATTTGACCTGAGATGGTATGAGCACTAAACGATGCAATTCAGCAGTTATCTTTTTAGATTAAGAAGACTTTCAGAAGGCTTCTACTGATAATGTATCTTGTAAACATATCTTACTCCTTGTGCTTACTTAAAGTATAAATTGTATTGCCTATTTTCAGGTTTTGATAACACATGCGACTTGTCAGCAGTTTTAGGAATGCTGGCCAACTCATCTGTGTTTCATACGCGCATCCAAACAAATGCTAAGGATGTGCGCTCCAAAGTAAGAAACGAGTGGGGACACTGTAACTTTGATCAATGGAACGAACCGGAGTTCAACCACAGTTTCCAACTCATGGAGACATTAATTCGTTCTTTGGGGCTTCCAGTGGCTGATGAAAAGAAAGTACTTGATGAACTTCAGGAGTGGGAAACTAAGGGTCAGTAATTTCAATGACGATATGGTGGTGTGTATGGGGCGTATCAGGCCCTAACCAACACTTTTGGATACCTCTCCCTGAGTGAGCGCCAGTCTTTCTTTAAGGTCTTTGTGAGCTGATCTTCTTTACCGGCATTTACCTTGTCGGGATTTATCTACTGTCTCGATGGAAAGTGTGAAGTCCATTGTTTTCCACTTTTCCTTCTCATTTCTTTCTCTTCATTATTAAAGGCGCCTTGGCTACCCAAAGTAAAATAATCATATCATGGCTGACGTTGTATCCATTTAAATTGTTTCTTGGCAGGTTTGAAATTGTGTATGGGTTGCCCAGTGGACAAGGATTTGATGAAACTTGTCAGTATTGAGGTCACCAACTTAGAGAAAAACTTGGAGGCCGTAAAGAAATTCAATGCTGATGAAGCCAAGAGGATACGAGAAGCTCTTAAAGACGCCATAGATGAAATAGCGAAGTTTGAGAAACGTATAGCCGACATGGAAAGTCGACTGGAGGAAGAGCTCCAGGCGCAATCAGAAAAGAACAAAGAATTCTCATCAGCAATTGAAGATATTTCTAACAATATAAATATAATGGAGGAACGCCAAGATACAAATGAACAAAACATTTCTTTGTTGGAAGAAAGGCAAATTGAGGTAGAATCAGCTGTAGCCTCTTTAAAAGACGGAGAGAGCAACCTTACCTCAAAGGTGGAGGTTTTAGAGCTCGAACAAACTCGGTTTGATTCTCGGCTAAAAAAGTTAGAAGAGGGTAATCTTGACGCTGTAGTCGATGCTAACATTTTGCAACTGCCCAGTCGCAATCATTGCTTTTGTGGTCGCGAAAGTGAGCTAAAAGCAATTGCGGCGCAATTAAAAGATACTACGAGGAGTTGTTCTGAATCAGCAATTTACGGTCTCGGGGGTGTTGGAAAAACATCTCTTGCTGTCGAGTTTCTATGGCGACAGAAAGACGAGGAATATTCCGGTGGCATTTTTTGGATTTCGGGCGAAAACAACAACCTTTTCCAGTTGTCTGTCAGCGAGATGGCACGTCAAGTTGGAACTTTGGATGACAAAGACTTTCCTAATTCACTGTCAAGAACCTTGGACTGGTTGAGAAAGCGCGAGCAGCTGTGGTGTCTAGTGGTTGACAATCTGGACGAGTTAGAAATGTCCACGGATATGCGAAAACTGCTGACTGGTCACTGGAAACAGGCTGCACGTGGTCATATCATCATAACCACAAGGAGAGAAGCAACGGAAATCGGAGAAGAAATGGGAATCGAAGAAAGCTCTTGTATTGAGTTGAAATGCTTCACGGAGGAAGAAGGAGTTCAGTTTTTAAAAACAAGAGGTGGAACAGCCGGAGAAGACAACGGTTTTCGTGAGTTGGTTGGAGAGCTTGGCGGACTGCCCTTAGCTCTTGATCAAGCTGCTGCTTACATCAGATCCCTTCGCCAGCCTATCAAAGAATATCTGAAGAAGTATAGGAAACAAAAGATGCTTCTCTTGAAGAAGAAGAAGGCTCGTAATCTGGTGGAAAATACATCACCTGAGAGATTGGCAGTTCACACAACATGGTCGTTAAATTTTGAGCACGTCAAGAAAATGTCAGAGCAGATGGATCTTGGAGAAACCCCCTCAATTGTCATGAAAATGTCTGCCTACCTAGGTCCCGATGACATTCCTTATCAGGTCATAAACGAAGGGCTCCACGTTGTGGGAACTTCCGGCCAGGAAGTAAGCGGTTTGTGGGACGCGGCCGAGACAGTGTCGCTGCTTACAAAGTTTTCCCTTTTTCAAAGGTATGGGATAGATTCTTTCAGTGTTCATCGTCTGGTGCAAGACGTCATCCGAAGTGAGATTGAAAAGGACAAAATTGAAGTGCGTATACTTTGCTGTGCAGTGCAAGCATTTAACCATGCATTGACAAAAACACGCTCGCCAGCGGAAGTCTGCCAAAGTTTCGTTGAAGATGCTGTTTTCAGCGTCGAGAATCCTCCTTCGTTACAACTGTGGGGCAAGCTGGCTTCGCACTCGACCTATTTGCAAGAACATTTGCTCAGCTACTTAGCGAAACATGAAAATGATGCCGAAAGTTTGCATACTTTGCTCTACACTGATGCAATTGTTCGTATCTTTAACGAAGCAGCGATATTTTTTTAGCGTTTCGCAGGAGAAAGTGAAAGCTCAGGCAATGCAAAAAAGAAACTAGAGTTGTTAGTACACCTTGAAAAGCCCACCCCTGAGGAAGATTGCAACTTGCCGCATTATTTTGTTGATGTACCTTTAAAAGACAAGGACTACAAGGTGATAACTTGCTGCATGAGAAACCCTCCCCCTGAAAACGAGGCCGTGGCTGATGAAGATAACGAAAGGAAGGAAGAAGCCGACCAACTCAGAGAAAAAAGGAAACGATGCATTTAAAAATAGCAAGCGCAAAGAGGCACTGGATCTTTATACAAGAGCCATAGATTTGAGGCCTGATGACCACCGCTTGTTTTGTAACAGGGCCCTCTGCCATTTGAAACTGGGAGAACCAAGAAATGCTCTGGAAGATTGTCAAAAGTGCCTTCATCTAAAACCTGATTACAGCAAAGCACTTCAACGAAAGGCTTGGGCCCTGCGAGAACTTGTTGAAGGTGGAAATGGTGAGCTTGAAGGGCAAAAGCGTGCAGCAGTGGCAGTCGCCCTTCACTTCGATCCCAGTCTTCGTCAAGTCAAAAGTTTTCTCAGATGTTTCCTGAGGTATCAGATCTACGCATCAGAGAGATATATAATGCAAGGCAGTTGGCGTTTACTTTGATGACGACTCAAAGAAATGAAACCTTGTTATTACACGAAAGAGAGTACCGTTTGAGTGCCTTCGGAACCGGAAATGACCTTCAGATTGTAGGTCTTGGACCCCACACTTACTTAAATTGTGCAAAGATTTGCCAAATTAATAACGCTAAATGCTATTTTGAAAATATTGTGTTTCCGAGAGGCAACGTTTTTCTCGCGTGCGTTGGAAACAATGGCGCTGTACACTTAAATAATTGCGAGATTTCAGGAGGACAGACAAGTTGTGAGGACTTTCCAGACTGTAACGGAGGTTCAGGCTGTGTGGCGCCCTCTTTAGGGAAACCTGCTTGTGATCGGACGGGAAACTTTGGTGATTCAGAATCAATGTCTGGCATAGGTGGCTTTCCGGGAGTTGCGATTGCACTCGAGAGCTCTGGATTGATTGAAAACTGTGTAATTCGTAAGTGTGGGGGTGGAGGTGCTCTTGTTTTTGGGAAAGGTTCTCGACTATTGGTTAAAAACTGCAGAAGTGTACAAGAACCACCAATCTGGATTAGAGGCAAGGGAAGGAGGAGAACTTGAAGCTCTTGGAAACAAGATATTCGACAATGGTGATCACGGCATTCTGATTTGGAAGTACCCTGGGAAATGTGACGTCAACAACAATAAGATTTTTGAAAATGTAAAGGAAGGCATCCGTGCTGGCATTACAAAAGAGAAGATAACCCTACGGAACAACAGTATCCATCACAACAGACCCTTTGGTATTTCCCTTGATGATAATTCTCAAGTTTTTATCAGCAGCAATAAGATTTTCGAGAACGGATTCTGGGGCATCCTTGCTAGAGAGCGAACATCGGCACACATAGTAGGAAACGAACTCACTGGTAACAAATGTGGAGGGATTTTTATTGGTGGCAATTATTCTGGGGAAATTCATCTAGAGACAAATACTGTAAGAGATCACGGAGGCCCTTGGCTTGAGTGTGCATTCAAAAACGACAGGGAATTGGCTGGTGCTCTGTGTTTTATGCTTACGGAGGGTAAAGAGCATTATTTTTCGAAGCCTCCCATTCTAAGAGGAAATAAACAATTTAACAATGAAGTCTTTTATCATCCCAGAGAGCTGGTTGAACGACTTTGCCATGGCTGCACTTATTGTCATCGTCGAAGAGACAAAAAAGTGCGTTTTTTGAAGTGCCCAGGATGTCTCATTGCATCGTACTGCAGTAAGGAATGCCGGCGCAGCCACAGACCTAAACACGAGACATTATGTTTCGCTCTTAAAACTCGTTTTGCTGTGGACGTTGACCGTATCCCCCGAGCTAGGCAGCAGGTGTTTGGCTCTCACTTGGTGGGAATTGGACAGGGTCCAAAACCTAACAAGGAGTTCATTGTCAAAATTCAAACACAACATCTTAACAGCCACCCACAGCAGTTGCTGACACTTTACGACCAAAGTGCCACTATAGATTGTCAAATTCTAAGTCCAAAAATCTTCAACGTGATAATGGACTGTGGCGTTCTTGAAGCTTTACACGAGTATACAAGTAAGACATGTTATTTCTGGGCCATGTTTACTGAGCCTGGAGGAAGACTGACAATTTATCTTGATCACTTAGCTCCTTATCAGAAGTGGTAAAGGTCAGAGAGTAATTTAGATATCAGAGTTTCTTGGTACAATAAATACCCCAAAGATTTTAACTACTGCATCTTTTTCTGAGGGGTCAAGCAGTCACAAATAGTAGTCATTTTGACCAATACTCTTTCAAACACACGGTCAAAACCCTTATTTTTAGGTTTTTTGGTAATAAGACTTAAAAATTACTTTTTATTTTTTAAATAAGATTCTTAGTAATTGTTAATGCATAATGTACATGATAAGTAATTATTTCTCTATTTTGCAGTGCAATTTCAAGTGGAAAGACAGAATTACTTTCCAATACTATGTACTAAAGAATCAAACTTAAATGGTTGATGGTCAAACAACAATCAAACAAGAAGCACAGATCGTTGAATGTTGTCCTTCAGTAGCATTTTAGATAATTCAACAGACAGAGGTTCAAATGAGGCCTGAAACTTCTGTAACATTTATGTTAAAATCTTTTAAAAATCACAAGCTTTTGCCAATCTAAGGCATCATCATCTAAAAGAACAGAAGTTAACACATCTTTATTCAATGTACCTTTTGCAATGACTTTGGTTCTCTCACCTAGGGACGTCCAGACTTCTTGGGAGCAGTGCAAGAAGGTTTATGATTTTTCCAATCTGCTTTTTGACACCCTCTTCATAAAAATGTGGAAGAAGAATTAGTATCTGTGTCAAAACATAATGCCTCAAACCCTACGTGGCCAATCAAGAAAACTTAATGTAATGGCGCATGAGGATATAAATCAAATTAAATCGATGAAAAAAAAAAAACCTAAATTTGGGTTTTAATAAATACATAGTCAAAAGTCATGAGAAGTTTCACTCTTGAATTTTTTGTGCACTTAGGTTGTTCATTTCATGGATTTACCTTGAAACTCAGAAAATCGTGAACACTTTGATTTTCTTTTGACCAATCACAATAATGATCAGGACAAGCAGGCAGATCTCAAAATGACAATTTAATGAGCATTTTGGTTTGTGACTTTGTTTCCTCATGCTCATGTAGCTTTTTCCTAGAAACACAACAACATTATAATATTTTGAGTGTTTACATATTTCTGAGTTTCAGAGTGACAGGTGCCAGCTGATTCATCTCAGAATCGATTAAAATATCCTCTTTGAATAAATAGTCCCTGATTGATAAGAAATTCTGGACTATAGAAAAAATAACAACAACAATAACAGCCCCAAAAAAGGATGAAAAAGAAATTAATTCCATGACAGCAACTTAAAAGGTGACTCATCTTTTAATGTCAACGTAACATTAGTAGGAGATGTGGTAGCATTATGGTTGGGAAACTGAACTCTGCTTCATGAAATCTGGGATCAAGTTCTGGCCAGGTCATTGTGTTCTGCATTAGGGCATGACACTTACCCACTTACACTGACCTGTAACTGCACCTCTCTCCACCCAAGATTTTAATTGGGTACCAGAGAACTGTCAGGAAAGCCTGACAAAAATCTGGCTAGTAACCTGACATACCCCATCCAGGGGAAGTAATTATGGAGCCTTTGCATTCTTGTGGCAAGCAGCTATGTAAATTTATTGGAACAGAAGAAAGCGTTTACATTGGAAAGGCTTTTCAGTCTTATAGGACTGATTTGGTTTACCAACATGGTCACCATTTTAATGTTTTGGCTCACTAATTCAAGCTTTATGTTGATGATACACTTATCTATTTGGCAAGCAAGTCAGTCTGTGAAATTCAAGCTCAGTTAACGAGTGGCCTAACTAATGTCCTAAGCTGGCTCCATGATAATTTTCTAATACTTGACCTTGAAAAAACAAAGATTATGCTTGTTGGTACCCATCAGGGGACCACAGAGGCTGATGATCTAGTTATAGAAATCAGTCACATGCATTTAGAAAGGGTTAACAGGTTGAAATATTTTTGGGTCCTCCTAGAAAACACTCTAACTTGGAAGGACCACATAGAATATATTGGTAAAAAGATCTCATCTCGATTAGGTGTTCTGTGTTGAGTGCAGAAGGTTCTCCCTAAGCCAACTTTCCAAATGCTCTACAATACTATAGTCTTGCCATTGTTACATGAGCTGAATAGATGTGCCACATGTATTATTGAAGGTCAGTCAATTGGGGCTGAGGAGTTAAAATCAACACTTGGCTGACCCAGCCTACAAGCCCACACAAATGATCTCAAATGTGTTTCAGTCTGTAAATGTCTCCATGGATTAGTGTCTTTGTACTTACTTTCAGAGTTCAGGCACATGCAATTTTTCCATGGATATAACACCAGAAGCCATGATTTACTGTGCCCTCCCTTCACAAAAACTGCCAAGTACTTTCAACACCCATCCGAGAAACATTAGACATATTCATCTGGTTTTTAATGTTTTAATGTCTTTGTTTTGTGTTCTTTCAGGGCTCCATTTAAACTAGCTCTCCTAAATTGGATGCCCCTGGATAAATAAAAAACAACAAAAACAAAAAACTAATTGGCTGCTGTGACAATGTGAAAATGATCTTAACATACTTCAAGTTGCTCTATGGTACAGAACACAGGATAATATTCTTTACCTAAGAATTACAAAATTTCACACCTGCCTTCATACCTAAGACCTAAAAATAGCAAATTAAAATACAAAGCTAACTGAAGATAAAAGAATGAACAATTTAAGTAAAGGTGCATACTTACTGCAGTATTTCTGCATACCACATTGACCACAAGATTTTAAGTCACCCTCTTTGACTTTTTTGGTGCATGCCCTGTTTCCACACATTGCTTTTATTTTCACATCAGCAAAAAGTCGGTAGAAAGGTGCTATAATATCCTTTAATAGCAGGTTAACATTTTCGAAGAAAGGAAGTCTGTTTTCTTCAGCATCTTGCCCCAGTTTAAAATACTTCCTGAATTCATCCATGTTTCCTTGTGGCAAATAAATTTTGGCCAAGTAGTAGCAAGCATTTGGGTATGTCTTGCAGCATTGTGGGGCCTCTAAAAGATACTCCTTTAAAACCTTCAGTACTGTGTCTCTTAATTTTTCAGCAGTCCTGACGCCTTTTTGTACCATTCAAACGCTTCTTTGATATCTTCGTCTACCACTCCTTCAACTCCACATCGATACATTTCAGCTAAGTAAGCTGTGCAGATGTTCTTCTCAGACGGACCGCCTTGTGAAACAAATCGTTCGCCTTTCTCTGTTTGTGTGGTTTTCCTGTAGGATCCAGTAACTGACCAAGTTTTTGTAAAAACCAAGGGATTAAAACAACCATTTTGGACAGCTGTGTCTAGCCACCCAATAGCTTTCTCGGAGTCCTTCTCAACGAACCCTTCGATACCGCTAGAATAAGCGGTACCAAGGTGAATTTGGCAAGATACTTTGCCCTTCTTGGCTCGAGAAATTAAAAAATCCACTGAGCCATTCGTTTCTTTGAGCTGGTTTTCCAGATTAAAGTCATCTGGGTTGAAAAAACCTGTATTTTTGAATTTATGTATTTTTGTATTTATGTATTTATGTATTTCTGTATTTTTTTCGAAGTAAGCGCAAGAGGATTTCTGGGATGCTAGTGAACTATATTAGTACGTCATATATCAGACATTATAGTATGCCATGAGTTATTGAAAGTATTGCAGTATTGGGAACACCTAACACGTCATTTCTCGGAAAAATGTTCAGCACAGATTTCTTGTTCGATTCCTGAGGGTTTTAGATGAACTTACCTCAGTTAACATACAAGGCTTTATTGTTAGGTAAGTTTATCATGTCGACAAGGATGCAGCTTAGGATGTATATTTTAGACGTGGATGTTGATCTGCACATCGTGGAAACTTTGAAGGAAAATTTTACTTATTCGAAAAGAGATCATTTTACCCTTTAAATCAACGACGAATGCTCAGTAGAGCAGCTAAATTTACGAAGCGAGCAAGGTCCGAAATACGATACATTGACTTCATCAGGATGACGTCATTCGATGGAATGATGGAATGACGAAATTGAGGAATATTCTACAGCGTTTAGCAAGGATGAATCGAAGCGGTGAAATTTACCAATGCAAGTACTGCCTGTGAGGTCAGACTCCAGCTTCTCCTCGACTTAGGGGGAAGGGCCATTTACACTCAAATTCATTCTATCTTTTAATTTTTATCAGTGTAGTTATGCTTAACGCATATTTGTCAAACCTTAGGTTAATCGATGAGAAATGCCATTTACAGTTCAGTTTTAATTGCTAATACTTACATATAGTTTTTTCTAATAAATATAATAAATTATATTTGAACTGTTAATGGGGACTTACATTATTATTATTATTATTTTTGGGAGGGACATGACTTCATGATGGTAAGTGGTTGGAAAAAAATGTCTTTTTTCTTGGTTGGGAGGGAAGCTGGGTACAAAGGATGTAATACACATATGTCTATACCACTCCCCCTTCTACCAGCAATAAGTAATGTTTGTCCAATTGATTTATCTTCTTCACTTTCTGGCCTGAATTAAATAATTCTTATTTTTAGGATGAAATGGTCTCAAATGTGATTAATTATCCAAGCAGAATGGCCCTGGCACAATAAAATTCCAAACATTCAAAGGTCTACAACAGTGAGAAAAAAAACACGGAACTTTAACTGTAAGCTGCAAAAGTCTCAGCACTAAATGAGTGAAGATACAACAAATCTCAGCATAGCACTCCTCTTGAAGCTTATGTATTAGAAATTGTGTTCTTTGTTAAAGCAACTCATGAAAAGTATCTAATGTTTCCTCTATTCTATTTGACCAAGCTTATAATTCACCAATCATGCCATTCTCATGATTTGTCAATCAGGAGTAGTTTTGTTAAACACAGACAACTGATTGTAGCATGTACAGTATGTACATCATATACGTTTCACATTGTGATATAAATACTATTACCTTTTTCCAATGGCGTGGAGAAGACTGGCAAATGAATGACAAAATTATCTACTTTTTTATATCTTTTAGCTGAGTTAGTAAATGGAGTAAACTGGTCTTGACTAATCAACATCAAGGGGACTTGATTACAATGTACAATATTTTGACATGAATTTACTCTAATTTGTGATGCTATTTTTTAAGTAAGTGAAAATGATGATGAAAAAAGGTAGTGCCTCCTTCTGTGATTTAAAAAGGAACCTGTTTATGATCCCCTGAAGGTTTTTAGGTCTGAAGTAATGATTTTAGTTCCATTATTTTGCACACGTATTGATTACAGTATTATATTTTTTCATTAATTTCATATTCATTAAAAGAAGTATGAAGGCATAGCGTCATATTCATAACTGTGTTAACTGAATAACTTGCTTTGCAGATAGCTTTGCACACTCTTTAGGCAGCCATGGCAACAGGCACAAGCAAAACCCCTATTTTAATTGTGCCCACAACACTTCCAGGACCTCCTACCATACCCACAGTTCTCACCAGTCCCTCAGCGGCAGCAGCAGGCCCTGGTGGGTACAATAACTTTCTTGTTTACTTTTATTTAACTGTAAAATTCACACCTTACCTCTGGGCCATTGGGTGGCAGGTAGTTTTGTTTTCAGGAGAATCTAAACATTTTCTGTCTGGTGACACAAAGGAAAATATCACACCACTGACTCCTGAGGGGGTGGGGGGGAGGGTTGTTGGGTCAATTTTGCTGGGTGTGTGTCATTGGCCTCTCAGAACCCCTACTCCATTATATTGCATTCTGTGGCTAGTTATAGACCCCCATCTTAGTGACTTTTGGGCAAATGTAATTTTGTGATTTTAACGGAAGGGTAAAGAATCTTACTTCTTTTGAATCCCTACTTACCAGAATTTTCTTAGTCCCAAAATCCAAAAAAAGTGCAACTCCATTTGTTGAAAAGACTAAGTGTAGCCTTAGAGAAAACAAACACAATGATTATTAATTGTGAACAAGATTACCCCTTTGGCATGGAGTTATCGACAAAGAGTGACACATGGTTGCATACATCATGTGACAACAGCAAAAAACAACTTTTGTTGGCACCAGGATAACAAGTTATTACATAATTGTCTTTGTTTTTAGCTTTTGTTTTTGCTAAGCTTCTTTAAGTAGCTTTTGTTACCTTTAGTCTTCTATTGTGAGCCAAACTTCTTCCCAATCTGATGAAGGATTGGTAGTGGAGTGTAAGAGTGCCTTCTGAAGGCACTGAAGTGCCTTCTGATTGACCCGCCTCGAATAGCAAATTTGCTATCAGCGGGTCAACATAATCTAAATTATTTTGTAAGAAAAAGAAAATAAAGTGTGTAAAGTGTGTGTAAAGTGAAGGATCTTGATATTAGTTTATATTTGGTGTTTCCTCCAACCACTACTCTTGTAACTCTATTGAAAATATAACACAATTATGATATGAACCCATCCAATGGCACATCCCCTTTAGCCTATTGCTAAAAAGAACCCCCCCCCCTTCCCTGATCACTGACTTCAGCGTTGTTTTGATCATGTTTTTCCTTGATCGCTGTTAAATGAATTTGTAAGGAAAAAAATTGATGAAAATGTATCCTCGGCACATGGAAGTTTACATGATCAGTATGAATGGTTCTTACTTCTCAGTAATTATAAGCCCAAGCAAGAAAACAAACTGATGCCAGGTGCCAAATAAAGAGGAAAAGGAGGCCAATTCCTGCATGCCTAACCTCATATTCGAGCCTTCACTTCACATATGGCGAAGTTTAGGCAGAATGTTATTAATCCAACATCATTTCCAACATCATTTTCTGGATTTTTGCCCCATTCAATGGTGTAGTGTGGAGGCATGTTTAATACTTACCGTTTCCCTATTACAGTAAAAGTTGAATTATAGATGTATGTATTTGCTCGCTTGAAAAAAGACAAAGGAGTATTCATAGTCTATGAAATTGGAAACTTTCTCGAAACCAATGGTGAGATTTCCCCAAATGCTTCAATTGTAAACCTAAAATCTTAAAGTTCAATGTTAACCTACATTTCAAGTGAGATCTATTTCAGTCTGTGGCAAAAACTGTTGTTTTCTTTTGTAATTTCTTACAGTTAGCAGCTTTGATTTGGGTGACAAACAAAAAAGATGGGTTGTGATTGGAATCACATTAAATAGGCTTCTATTACCAGTTCTCCGTGACTTTGCGGGCAAGGAACTTGCTAAACACTACACATCATTGAAGAGCTCCAGTGGAATAGATAAACAGGTTTATTCCACTCACATGAAGAAAGATGGTTCATTTGATTTAAACTATAGCAGTATCAACAACAACTGGGGAAGATTCAAGAGGAAAGTGCAACTATATGATTATAAAGTGGCGTCTGCTGAGAATCTGGCCAAACTTTACCTTGAACCACATATGGCCAAATTTACAGGTGAATGATTAGTTACAAAAATTGGCGGTAATGTCGCAATGTAATTGGCCAATTCGCCATCGTCGATAAGAGTACAAACAACGCTGCTTGTGTCAACGTGTCACGCAATGTCTTTACAAGCTGTCAAACATGGGTGACCTGGACATTTTGATATTGTGGTAAAAAACAAACTGATAGTGGTTAAGCGTGGTCTGTACTCTTATCGACAACGATATTCGTCATCACAGTCAAAATTTGTTGCTAAGAGTACAGACCACGCCAATGTTAAATCTCTAGTCGATCTTTTTGCTAATTATAACTTACAGTGGAATATAATGACAAGGAACAAATCTGGGAATATGTAATCATTCCAGATCAGCCTGCAGTTTCTTATTGGCGCGTCAATCTCTGACACAGGTCGCTTGGCGTACTTGGCGTTATACACATGTCGAAAAGACTCTCGGCCCAACGAGACTCTGAAGTCAGTCAAGAGCCATACTTGCAACTTGGAAACTATCCTGACAGATCAGGATATCGTTTACACGGCTTTTTTAATGCTTTGACTCGATCTTTCTCTTCAGTTCACAAATTGATTATGGTAAAATCCCCTCTTCGGTTACGTCTTTATCTCGCTTTTTAGCCATGACATGTGAAGTCTGCTCAAGTTGTTGTGTAAAGTTAGGGTAACTTTGGCAGCGGTTTGACGCTGTCGAGTCACTACCTTGACAAGCAGGAACTTCAGGCTTACGCAAGAGTGCAACAATAGTTAAATGAGCCTACTGAATAATGACTGAATTTGACCTGAGATGGCATGAGCACTAAACGATGCAATGCAGCAGTTATCTTTTTAGATTAAGAAGACTTTCAGAAGGCTTCTACTGATAATGTATCTTGTAAACATATCTTACTCCTTGTGCTAACTTAAAGTATAAATCTTATTGCCTATTTTCAGGTTTTGATAACACATGCGACTTGTCAGCAGTTTTAGGAATGCTGGCCAACTCATCTGTGTTTCATACGCGCATCCAAACAAATGCTAAGGATGTGCGCTCGAAAGTAAGAAATGAGTGGGGACACTGTAACTTTGATCACTGGAATGAACCGGAGTTCAACTACAGTTTCCAACTCATGGAGACGTTAATT